ATTCGACAAGACAGACAGACCCAACTGACTGTAGATTTGCTAAAAAAAAGTTACCTACTTCGAAGCTGTTATTCTGAATAAATTACTTTAAAAGCTCAAACACTCTGCTTGCATATTTAAATTTCTGATGAGATGAACTGTCGGACTATACCAAAGGATTTCTGTATGATTTCTGTATTAATGCCGTAAGGAGACTATGGTAGATAGACTGAATGTAACCCCCCACCCCACCCCATAGTTTAGAGATCCCAAAGTAGTGTTAATTAGAAGGCCTTTTTCTTCTTCTCCCTGTGAGCAGTTTACAAGGGCAAACTGCTAATTGTGTCAGCACATCCTGGGACAGAGAATCTGCTCTCAGAAAAGATAAGACCTTGCAGAAACAACTGTTCCTCGGAACAGCACACAGAGACTCCCACCCTTCTCGCGTTCTTTATCTTGCTTGTTATGTATGTTACATGGTAAGGGGGTTAAGCAGTTTCATTACACCCTAAGACTCGTTAAAGTCAAAAGAGATATATGTTGAAATAAAGCTAGGGAATGCATGTGAATGGATGTTGTGTGTGAATAGAAGATGAATGGTTAGGAGTGCCAGCCTAAGAGTTACAACTTCAGTATCGATCGGCTGAAGAATGCGCTAAGTGGAGATAACCGGATGACCCCCGGAATCCACCCAACAGCCCCAACGATGGGAGAACCAAAGTACAAGATAACATCTGGCAGCCATCACGGAGCCATCATGGATGTGCCATCTGCTGATTGATTCAGCAACAGCATGATGAAGCCACCTCCATAGACTGGCATAGGAATAAACTCCTATAAAAATAGACCCTAAAGACTACGGACTTTGAGTCTGGTTCTGCAACCACCCTCCAGGAGCATAGGATGCACATCTGACAAAGGCTCAGCTCCACCCTCGTGCCCAGGTTACCTGGCCAGTAACTTGGCATGAGCAACCTCTAGGCTGGTAACTATAACAACTTCGCAGAACTTGTATGTGTATGTGTGTGTGAGTGAATGGAATGTAGTAAATATAACTGTCTAGTACTTTGCTTCTTTTGGTATTTTGTGTGAGTACATGAGATAGAATATTTATGATTACTTGTTTACTGTGCTTCTTTTTGTATTCACAATAAACGTGGCATTTTGCCTCATCCCCTTTTAAAAGATCCTGTTGGTTTTTATTTTATTGGTACAACAGAATGACTATGATAGAGAGCAGATGTTCCTTGGCCCACTAAAATGCTACTAGAACCTCCCACTGAAGTCATGGACTGCTGATTCAACTCCCTGTTTACTGACAGACAACTCCTGCAGCGTTGCCCGCTCTGAACAACTGAAGCTTGGACTGGACTAGACTAGGTGGAGAAATCTCATGACACTGTCATATTACTTGTTTCCCATGCATTCACATGAAGAATTCATTCTTCAAGACAGAATCATCTAACATGACAATGGGCTCGCCATATCATCACACTGGGACCTAAGGTTAATACAACTGAATTTGGATCAAACAGTGGAATGCATTTAATTTCCATGTCAGAGAATGTCAGATTCCTAACAGTTGGAAAATAACAGATTCTAGAGTTTAATGTTACAGGTACAGTAAACAAGACAGTGATGACAATTGTACACACATACCTATGGCCACTAATGCTTAAGACTGATAGAATCTCACACAGTCTGTAAAGCACCTCTCCAGGGCCAAACATAGGACACAAAGATTCTTCTCAGTGTCCTTATATCTATTCCAAAGACCTTCTTTGTTTGCCATCCCTATACCTGAAGAGATGCTGTTTCAGAAAAATGGAGACACTCCCTTTGATGTTCCCAGTTCTTCGATGGCTATTTAATGTGGAACAGATAACAAGGCTGGAGGGCTTAATAATGAATTAGCTAGATGTGTCAATTTGACAAATTTTCCTCAAAGAAAGAGAATTCAGCACTTCTGCTTTGAAAGCAACCTTCAGTAATTTCGGAGTGTAAATCTTCAGACATTGTTTATATATAGGGTTACCAGATAGCAACTGTGAAAAAACGGGACAGGGGGTGGGGAGAAATAAGCACCTATGTAAGAAAAAGTCCCAAAAAACGGGACTGTCCCTTTAAAAACGGGACATCTGGTCACCCTATTTATATGTCCTATAAGCCCTGCATTTAAAAGAAAAAGAGAGAAGGGCCTGCTTTTAGTGAATTAACAGAATTTATATCAATCTCACTGGGTAGTCTTTTGATGCAGGACAATTTTACAGAAAATGTGCAGCAAATTAACATAAAATGAATATGTAAAATAAATCTATAGTTTAAATGAACTTTTGAGAGTTAAACCATGATATCTTTATAGGTTTTGTGGTTTTTTTCCCCAACTAATGGGAGGCTGACTTTCTCTGATGTGGATATTAAAAGCATGCTACTGTTTGATCTAATTTGGGTTGTTCTAGTTTAAAAAAAAAATGCAAATTTATTTGGTTAAGTAAATCTATTACACATTGACTGTCGCTGAACAAAAATTAATGAATAATTGTAATTCTGCTGTGTGTCATTTTTAAAAAATTGTTTTTGCTATTTCATGGAACATAACCTACTATGAAAAACATTTCATAACTATTTAAGAAAATATAGGAGAAAAACATTCTGAACTGTTTTGTCAATTTAGAATATGTTTTAAATTCATATTAATTTAATGTCCAAATGTATAATAAAGATCTGTATTTCTTGAGTTTTTCCTACCCTCTCCCAAGCTGCCACTGCCAGCTATACAACTTCCAGCTTCTATGAGAAAAAAATGCCTTAGTGGCCCAAGAAATGCCATTAAAAGTGACATGTGTGTCTATTGTGGGAAGGAATGACTTCTGAACTGTTTCTTTCTTACTCTGGTAGTTCCCTTCTTCCCAAGGCATTACCTTACTCTGTGGACAGCCAACATCACTTTCAAATCTAAGTTATTTAAATAGCTATATTGAAAGCTCACTACACCCACTGATGTAGCTGGTTCTACAAACAATACTTTCAAAATGGCTTCACCATCTTTGGAGCAATTGAGATAGGTGACTGAACAGGATGAGAGAGTTAAAGGAGAACACTTTGTTCTTCAAAGCTACACAAGAACCATTGTTAAGTGTGGAAGCTGAACCTGAAGGAGGAAAACCAACTATTGTCTGCACTCATCAACAATTTTCTGGTAGCAGGGTTGGGTAAGTTTTACTTTCATTTCAAAAGCTACATTAAGAGCACATAAAACAGTGAAATTCGAAGGAATTTACAAATTAAAATGGTCAAAAAAGTAACTTTTAATTTAATTTTAGTCAACTTAATACACATATAAGCTGATCTTGTGATAGCCGATTAGTGCTTGTGGAGAGAAAATTATTTAGTCAAGAACCGTTGGAGTCCACATTTATTGACATATTGTGAAACAATTCCTAATAAGTTTGATATTATCCACCCATAATATCATCTCCCTGTACATCATCTCAGGCACAGATACATGCACATGTATAACTTGTTCTGATAAATGATAACTGAGGGCTCTTCTTCACTACTGGGGTAAGTCAACCTAAGTTACGCTACTTCAGCTACGTGAATAATGTAGCTGGAGTTGACATAGCTTAGGTCGACTTACCCCGGTGTCTTCATTGCGCTGTGTCGACGGAGATGCTCTCTGGTCAACTTATCTTACTCTTCTGGGGAGCTGGAACACCGGAGTCGACTGGAGAGCGCTCTGCCATTGATTTAGCATGTCTTCACTAGACCTGCTAAATCGACACCCACGGCATTGATTGCAGCAGCGTTGATCTCCCTGGTAGTGAAGACAAGCCCTAAGGCGAAGATTTAGTCACAGGTATTTTTAGTAAAAGTCATGGACAGGTCATAGACAATAAACAAAAATTCAGGGCCTCTGACTTGTCCATGACTTTTATTATAAATACCCCTGACTAAATCTTAGCTGCTTCTAGAGCACTGCTGCTCTGAGGAGCTCCCACATCCTCCGTGACAGACTTGCAGCCTTAATGATCTTTTATACTGGAGATATGAATATACTTCAGATATTTCTTTCTACTTGGTGGGAACAGGCTTTAACAGGTGACTAACAGGTCTTTAATATTTAGCCCGTGTATTTCTCAACAGGGATCACTACAGCTTAACATTTCAGTTACAAGATAAACTTGCAGAGTTCATATTTAATAGTTTTTAGCTAGAAAAACCTGTAAAATTTTATTATCACATATGAAGTGGACTAATTATACACCTAGATTATCTTGCTACTTTTTACAATGTGCTATTATCATCTCTGACCACATCACATTCTCAGCGGTTCTCAAACTTCATTGCACTGTGACCCCCTCTCACAACAAAAATTACTACATGACCGCAGGAGGAGGAACTGAAGCCTGAGCCCACTCAAGCCCCGCCGCCCCGGATGAGGGGCCAAAGCGGAAGCCCAAGGGCTTCAGCCCCAGGTGGAGGGCCTGTAACCTGAGTCCTGCCGCCCAAGGCTGAAGCCCTTGGGTTTCGCTCCCAGACAGTGGGGCTCTGGCTCCAACCCTGGGCCAGCCATGGAGACCGCATTAAAACCTGGTCATGACCCCCTTTGGGGTCCCGACCCACAGTTTGAGAACGGCTGAGCTGAATTCACTCTCTATGGTGAATCAAATAGTAAACTATTACATCAGAAAGACATCAGCAAAGTTACAAATCCCATGATTTTAACACAGCCACCTTATTCCTGCATATGGGAACAACAAAAGCCCCCACAAAATTAATACAAATTATATAATTACCCTAACACCATTCCTGCAGGATGAAAAATTAAGAAATGTGCTTATCATTGAAGTTAATAAGCAATTAATTCTTAGGGGAGGGGGAATCAAATTTTTAACTACAGCAATTCAAATATGATATGTAACTTTCAACATAGTAAAAAGCAATGCTAAAGATGAGCAGTTAAACATCTTATTGTAAATAAATAATTTCAAATCAGGAAAAAATTGCATGTTGCTTACCTGCGACTAGTTGTTTTCTTTTCAGTTTCTGGTTCTTCTTTAAATGGTAGCTTAACATTTTCATTTTTATCTTTTCTCAACTTCTTAGCTACACGTTCTTTCACTTGATATTTCTCGTCACTATCCATTTCACCTTCTTCATTATCGCTATCGTCATCCTCCTCCTCTTCTTCCTACATTGATTTAAACAGACAGCTTTAATTTTAGCTCTATTTTACTAGAGGATTTTTTAAGTTGGGAACAACTTCTCAGCAAGAGAGCTTATATAATGCTTACATTTATAATTTATATGCACATATATGCTAATATTTTGTAACTGCCTCAAAATATGAGCTATGAAAACAGAGGAACATATCCTCAATATCTCTCAGAGATACCTTAGAAGGTGAACCAGTAGTACCAACAAAGGATGTACATTTTTAAGAGCTACAGTCACAAATAATACATGTATTTAAATATTAAAAAACCCCACACTATTTAATATCCTAAATCATTTATTCTTAAACTGTGGCCTGTGGACCCCTTGGGATCTGTCTGAAACCAAGGTATCTTCACTGATTCCAGATTCTAAACTTTATTAAAGACAAATTAATATTAAGACAATATTTAATTTTCCATGTAAACAATTACTGTGTACATAACACAGGATTTTTACACAGTCCGGAATGGAAGGGGAGGTGGTTCTATATAATAATCTCTCTATTAAGATATAGTCTATGCTATGAAAAAGTTTGACAGTCCGTTAATAACATACACAAATAGAATTTAAAATTACAAGTCAATACATTTTTAAATAAAACGTGAAAAATCATTTCCTTTCTAACAATGTGCCAGAACCTCAGTTAAGGGTTTCAAACCAGATTTCAGTGGGCAAGCATCCACATCACAATTGGTCTACACAGCAGAGAAGATAACGAATGAATTGTCATGGAAACTAAACTAACTATTCAACTCAAGAAATAGCACCAGCAGTGTTTACTCCTGGGGGAATTCTGCACCACTACACGTGTGCAGAATTCATGACCCCCACAGATTTCTTTGTTTCCCCACAGAAAAATGTCTTTCTGACAGGGAAGCAAAGGAAGCAGCAAGAGTGGTCATGCGCCCCTCCCTAGCAGTGCAGGTACATCATTTCAGGCACCTGGAGCAATCAACGGTGAGGTAAATCACTGCTGGGCTGGGGACACCCCAGCCAGTGGCTCCTACCCTGCACTGGGATCAGCTGCTAGTCCTGGCTGAGCTGGAGGTGGGAGAGGACGGGACTTCCTCTTCTTGCAGAACTCTTTCTCAAAACTTGCAGAATTTTAAAATATTGTGCGCAGAATTTGTAATTTTTCAGCGCAGAATTCCCTCAGGAGTAAGTGTTACAGCTGACGCTTGCTGATGAAGTGACATGAGCTATCTCACATTGCTGCTAAGTCTATCCTTGATGGAAAAGGCCACACAAGAGAATTGATCTAAATTTTATTGTATTTTATTATTTTAATTTATAATTAAAATAGTGGGTAACACCTAGGACTGCAAACTCTCTGTACTTCAAAACCTTCAAAATAATTGGTGCTATAGAAACAGCATTATGTATGTCCAAAATATTTTATAGACAAGTAAACTGACATGACTTCTGCTAGAAAGAAGTAAGCAACAGGTCCAACTGTTTTAGGTGTCTCTAATGGTACTAAAGACAAAGAAAGAAAGGACTGAACTTCAGTGCCTCTAGTTTTTCACTGACAGAATCTTCACTAGTTTTGAATCCCACATGTTCTAAAAGTGAATGCCATCTCTCTCATAATACATATTTATTATCTGTTCCGACATATGCACACATATGTACTTTTATACTGAACCTGCGAGAGTGGCAGAAGATGGAGATTTCCATTTTGTGAGGTGTAGAGGACTGATTATGTTGTAATTTCAATAATCCAAACACTGAAGAATTATCCTTGAAACTAGATGGACAGACAATATTGAAAATGCAAAGTTTCAAGTATCTGGATTTCAGAAACCAGGGAAATGTAGGGTGAAATTAGAGTTAGAATAATAAATGCCTGGCTCAAACGGAGAGAGAAGTGGTGTAGTCCATGACAGGAAGATACTAGTAAGATTAAAAGGAAAGTCTATAAAATGGTGGTCTATCCTGTTTTAATGTATGGCACTCAGCATTGGGCAACAAAGAAGAAACACAAACAAACTATCTGTTCCACAGAAATGAAAATGTTGAGATGGTTGAATGATGTAAGCAAGAACCCCCACATGTGAAATGTGTATGTTAGAGACATACTCAAAGTAATACCTGTAGATGAAAAAATGAGGGAGTGTAGGCTCTGATGGTTTGGTCATGTAAAGCACATTGCTGACAAAGAAGTCCAACAAAGCAAGACTGAAGGAAAAAGAGAAGCCCGATCCAAGAAGACAGGGTGGGATGTCATAAAGAAAGATGCTAGCATGTGGTGTGATTTGGCATTGAACAAATCACTCTGGAGGGAGAGCAATTGTAGACCCATCTGATGGGTATAACACAAGGAAGAAGATGATATAGGACTTACTATGTTGAACTGGCCAGCCTTTAGGTTGACAGGCTGGTATCCACCTCAAAGCTTCTGGAACCTACGCTGTTTATTCAAACAGATAACCTATACATAACTCAACGTTCCTTCAAAAACTGACAGTGTCTCGGGTTTTGGCACCAGTTATGTGAGGATTATGGCAGCTGTTCTAAGGACCACCACGAGATGGGACACAGAATTAACTCTTATTTACCCTCAGGTTCCTCAAGTCTGATACTCTGATATCTGGGAAAGAAATAATCAAACTACTCAGATTTCTAACTATATACATTTCTAGTTTGTATATAATTGTATTTATAACTAAACCACATCACTATCCAAAAAAGCATAAAATAAAATAGATAAGAAAATTAAAACAGAGTGGCTTAATATAAAACCAAATTAATTCTTAGGTTGATGAAACCCTATCAAATAAATCAACATTTATAAGATTTATCTAAAAATTTGGAAAGGCAGCAATCTTGTTTAATTATCAGCCCCAAAAGTCACAGGGCATTATTAATCTCAATGTCACTTGATATATTACATCCAAGTGGTTGATTCTGGGAGTAGGGAGTGAAATCACTCCTAAATTGAAACTACTGTTGAGACTCTCTCTCTGATGCTAAGTATTATAGATGTTTAGGCAATAGATAATCTCTCTCCCTCCTCTCCCACATAAAATTACATGAAACACTCAATACAATTTGAGATTATACTTAGTCCTGCCTTGAGTGCAGGGAACTGGACTAGATGACCTCTCGAGGTCCCTTCCAGTTCTATGATTATATCATTCTATACAACTTGTTAAATTTAAAATGTAAATTTAAAAAAGTTAGGTGAAAATAACCTAATTTTCCAGAATTAAACATACCACTTCCTAATCCATGCAATATATTATTTAGCCGAGACTGTTTTAGGTATTGGAACTATTAGTTAGATGCCATTCTTGGATAAATTCTCTGGGTTCTATTCACACATACACACTCAGGGCTGGTCCACACTAACCCCCCAGTTCGAACTAAGATACGCAACTTCAGCTACGTGAATAACGTAGCTGAAGTCGAAGTATCTTAGTTCGAACTACAAGGTACTTACCGCCGGTCCACACGCGGCAGGCAGGCTCCTCCGTCGACTCCGCGTACTCCTCTCGCGGAGCAGGAGTACCGGTGTCGACGGCGAGCACTTCCGGGATCGATTTATCACGTCTAGACAAGACGCGATAAATCAATCCCAGAAGATCGATTGCTTACCGTCGAACCCAGAGGTAAGTATAGACGTACCCTCACTGGTTTCATTCAGCTTCAGGAAGACAGCACATGGTTGAAAAGAATAGCTGGTGTTTTTTTCCAGTGCTGCTGGTTTAACATTGACAGACTTTCTAGATGACTAGAAGTTACTTGCTTGTAGATGTCAATTCTTTGATGTTGCATACTACTGGACTCATCCCCCCGATGGCCAGATGGAGGAAGCACAAGCCTTTGTCAGGCATGGTGCATTCCATAGCCAGAGACTAAAAGCCTTGCAGCAGCCCAAAGAGGAATCAGCATGGCTTCCTCTTTCTCTTTTATTTATGAAGATGGTGACCTAGCTAGTTTCTTCCCCATTTTGGGAGACCTCCTCAGGTGTTCTTAGGTGATCAGAATAGGACACTCCCCTTCTGAAGTCACTTCATCGCCCAATGGGATTTGATTAGTTCACTTGTATGCAAATAAAGTATCTCCCATTCCAGTAATTTTGGGTTTAGAAAGTCCTTGGATCCAAAAATATATAGCCTGTCAGTCAGCAGGTCCAAATATTTTCAGACACTTGACATCATGGGTCAGGCCACAGCCATGATCTCAACCAGACTACAAAAGTCCCAACTCAAAAATAATTTAAAATATGCAAAGCTAGCAAAAAAGTTGTAACTAAAAACGTAAGGAAACATCAATCATACAGTTAGCCATGCATACACAGGAACAGTTCCCATCCTTCAGCTAGATACTTTTTATATGTTGGTACATGGTAGTTCAATTTTGAATAACATTTATGATACAAAACATGTGTGAAAGGTTAGACTTTAACTTAATAGGAGTGAAAGTCTTTTCCTCCTAGAAAAATCACAATTTTGTAATTCAATATTTAAATGCAGGCCTAGCTGTTTCACAATTTATTGGTGGATAAATTAACAACAGAGAAAGAGGAGTAGGGAAAAATAAAAAATTAAATAAAAGGATTATATGTAGATACATATAAATGTAGCACTGCTAACCTGAAGGCGGTCAGTCACCACTGACAAATGTAGCAACTCTGTACTAGTGAAATATTTCCTATCCACAGTGCTTCTTTGCACAGTATGAAAAGACATATCTGTGATGCAAGTGTCACACTGGCATGTTGCAAATATAAACAATTAATTTTAACATCTACTTTTTATAAATATTATATGTGGTAATGAAAATTATGTACCTGAAATTCTGCTTCTTTGGAGATACCTCTCTAACAGGATTTCTCACTTTGATGTCTCAACTCTCTATTTTAAGACCAGCTTAAAAGATAACTCCATGCAGATCATGTGGCCAAAAATGAACGAGTGTCTCTGTAGCCTCTTCTCAGTTTCACGGAGGGCTTGACATTTTTCAAAGCTCCCATTAAAAAACCTATGTGTCATGGGATATTAAACCTGTGATCCTGACAAAGCTGATAAAAGCTCCTTTTGAACTACCTGATTCCTCTGAACTTAAGTTTCTTAAATTCAAGGTCATTTTCCTAGTGGCTGTGGCTTTGGTTTGAAGAGTGACTAAGACACAGGCCCGAGTGACTGACCCATTTTATAATAAATTTACAGAAATATAGTGATGTTTCAAACTAATTCAAGATTCCTCCCCATAATTATGTTGGAAGTCCACCTTAATGAGCCTGCTATCCTGCCAACATTCTCCACATGCATGCATGCCCATCCCAAGAACACTTTCATAAACATGTCATGTCATCATACAGTCCTGGGGGTTCTATTTGGAGTGAAGTAAAAGCCTTGGAAAGTGCTCCCAACTTTTTGTTCCTTTTGTTAACAATTTTCTGGGCATTGCTGTTATCAAGAGGATCCAATTGGATCTCTTTTTTTGATATGACCTGGCTGGCCTGAAGCTGGAAAGCCACATCAAGGCTGCTGTAATTGCCTATATCACAGGTATTTTTCTTTCATATATCTGCAAAGCTGTGACATGATCCTTTCTCCATACATTTACAAAGCATTATTGTTTGGATTTGGCCTCCAGAAGGGAATCACATTTTGGACTCTCAGTACTTGGATTTACCAAGAACAAATCAGCTTGATTTCCTTCTTTGATAAGGTAACTGGTTTGGTCAACAGGAGGAAAGCAGTGGACATAATATACCTGGACTTCAGCAAGGCTTTTGACACAATCCCACATGACATTCTGATAAGTAAGCTGGAGAAATGCGTGATTGGCAGAATTACCACTAAGTGGATACATAATTGATTAAACAACCGCAAACAAAGAGTAACTATTAATGGAATGATATCAGAATGGAGGGAGGTCTCAAGGGGGCTCCACAGGGATCTGTTCTGGGTCCAGTGTTGTTTAACATCTTTATTAATAACCTGGATGTAGGTATAGAGAGCATACTGATCAAGTTTGGAGGATAGAGCTAAAATTCATAGGGATCTGGATAAACTGGAGAACTGGACTACAGACAACAAAATGAAATTCAACAGAGACAAATGTAAGGTGTTACACTTAAGGAAGAAAAACCAAATGCACAAATACAGAATGGGGGAAAACTGGCTTCTCAGCAATGTTGCTGCCAAGGATCTGGGAGTTGTGGTGGATCACAGCCTCAACATGAGTCAGCAATGTGATGGTGTTGCAAAAAAAAAAAAAAAAAGGCAAATGCAATTTTAGATTGCATTAACAGTGGCATAGCATGCAAGTCACGGGAGGTGACAGTACTGCTCAACTCGGCGCTGGTTAAGCCTCTGCTGGAGTACTGTGTCCAGTTTTGGTCACCAATGTATAGGAAGGATGTAGAGAAACTGGAAAGGATCCAGAGGCAAGTGACAAAGATGAACAAAAGGCTGGAGGAATTGGGTATGTTTGGAAACGAGGAGATGGGGGGGGGGGGGGGGAAGCAGGAAAGGGGTCTTCAAGTACTTGAAAGGCTGCCATTAAAAAAAAGATGGATAAAAGTTGTTCTCTCTAGCCACAGAGGGCAGGACAAGAGGCAATGAGTTCAAATTACAGCACAGCAGATTTAGATTAAATCTCAGGAAAAACTTCCTAACTGTAAGAACAGTAGTAGAATGGAATAGACTGCCTCAGGAGGTTGCGGAAGCTTCTTCACTGCAGGTTTTCAAAAGGAGGCTGGATAGCCAGCTGTCTTGGATGGTTTAGACATAACAAAACCTGCCTCTTGGCAGGAGGTTAGACAAGTTGACCCTTGTGGTCCTTTCTAACCCTATGATTCTATTCTGGAACCTTTTCCAAAAGAAGGAGTGGAGGAGTTCAGCCTCCCCTAAGAAGGTGTGTTGTATGGATGGATGTCCCTTAAGTTTAAGGTGGTCAAATATTGTTTGTACTTCCATCTGTTTCCTGCTCAAACTGAGTGCCAAATCATGGCAAGAGAGCCTAAGACCAGTCACTCACACCATGTGTAATTGTGTGGGCTGGAGCAGACTGTACAGAGCTACTATCTCCCCCTGCCCCTGAAAGCTTCTCCAACCCATTTGCTAGCATTGCTATGTTGGGGGCAATTATACTCTACCAGGCCTATACCTGGCACATGGTTTTTCCCTGCCTGGGGCCTCAAAGTCACAATTTGCTCTAGGGACAGTGCAACAATATGCTGCCCTTGCTCAAAGGCTCAACCAAAGCCACACTTCAACCCAAAAGTTTTATTTTCCATAGTAAATGTAGGAAGGAGCTTTTTTGTAGTTTAAAAAACCTCTATGTTCCATGGCTGGCTCTGGACTGTATTATTACTGTTCATTGCAGTTTGTTTACCTTAAGGACATCCCCCAAGTTTCTGACTCTCAGAAGTGAGAATCCTGATAGATGCAGTGTAGTTGTAGCCATGATAGATGGCATTTTTAGCAAAGGAAAAGTTACTTGAAATTCTGCTTCTATAAATACATCTTTCCACTCAGATTCTCACACACTTATATGCCTCCCCTCAGTGTCTGGAGATTTTTCATTTGTGGTATTTGTTCCATTACATAATTTTTTTCGGAGGAATTTTTTTTCTTCTTGATTGGTTTATAACTTTGGAGGAGCGTTGTCTGCCACTACCTAAGTTACTGTCAGAAATGTTCGGGCAGTAATCTATGCAGAATGTGGGAGGTGGTGTGTGGCAGGTCAGGGTCACACACTACCCTGCTGAGATGGCTCATACTGGCCAAAACTTAAAAGCTTTGAGAGTTCCATTCGTTTTTTTGCTGGGAATCTGAGACCCACTGTCAAAATCCTAGTGGAAACTGTATCTTTAGAGTATTACCTCACCCTTAAGAACAATAATTCACATGAAATACAGAATGAATATCTACAATGAATCAAAACTCTCTGTTTGCAGAAGAAGTGCCACTCACCTCGTCTGAATCCCTCACTTCATTTGCTTTTTCACTAAGGGGGGAAAAAAAAGAGACAATCCATATAAGATGATTGTTCCTTCTCTAAAGCACTCTGAATCTGTTGATAAGAGTAGCATTTAAAAACAGTACAGCAGTACCTTAACCAAGAATTCACTTAGGTTATTTATTTAAAACTATGCCAGAACTCCCCCAATCTAGCCATTTTCACCATGATCATCACTATAATGTCAGTCGATTATATTTTCCCACCATTTGATTGTCACACCCACTAGCTAGAAGAGTTTGAAAAATGTGGGACAGACCAGCAAGAAAACACAATGCTACCATGTAAGGGGTAAATTCAGTTAGTGAACACTGTGACAGGGTGGTGGGCAAAGGATTGCTGATTCAGCCCTCTGTTACGCCAGCTCCTATTTAGGAAAATAAATTAGAGCTGGCTGGAGATAACCTAGCCCTACTTGGGGAATCAGAGACAGCTGCTGCCTAATTAGCCTGCAGCTGTATAAAAGCCTCAGGGGAAGGAAGCCAGGGGAAGAGCAGAAGGAAAGGGAAAAGGCAGGGAGTGGAAACAGGGAGGTAGCTCTTCCCTCCCTCCTGCCTGCAGACGGTGAAGGGCCAACTGTACATGGTGAAACAGTGGTGCGAACAAGCCTGTGAATAAACTGGCACCAGTGGATACTAACCCCAGGGTCTCAGAGTGCCTTTGTGGACTTAGCAGAGGCAGGAGCCAAGGGGGAACTGCCACACTCTGCTACAGAACATTTCAAGACCTCCAAACCAAACAGCAACGTATGCATTTTCTGGGAATCTGGTGGACCACTTTGTGCTCTTAAACCAAGCAATTCTGGCCCAAGTGAAGAGCACAACTGGTAAGTGGAGAGAAGATGGTGTGGGTATAACCCCTTAGAGAAATTATGGTGGCCCTAGAGACCATTTTGGAAAAAGACGAAGTAGCATGATACCTCACCTACACTTAATTTGAATAAGCATGAAAAGAGGTAGCTCCTGAAAGCAAGAATTCAAAAGAATTATACTGAAAACATAGACGAGCAAAACTATGCCATCTGTTGATTTTTGGACTAGTGGATATATTAGAATTAAATGTAAAAACAAAAAACCCAAACTTCCTTTATTCATACTAGTAAGATGGACATCTATGGTCTACGTGTAAGCCATTCCTGGACTTGCAGTGTAAGTAGTTGGCATCTGGGGCAGCCTTCTCTCTAATTGCACATTTTATGAGATTTATTGGGATTTAGAGGAGAACAGTGACAACCTGACTGCTTTCTCCTGCTTTTGTTGTTGTTACTGAGATTCTTATCTATTTTCTTTCCCTCCTCTATTACTCCCTATTCCTAAACTCTTTAGTCTCCAACCTATCTTTACCATTCATCTACCAATAAATAAATGTATTATTGATTGATGGACAATCTGGCATAGTTCAGGCATTAGTAGATATTTTTACTAATCATATATAATCTCCCAATATCCAGTTTTCTAAGCTGTAAACATGTATAATATTATGAATATATAATGTATTATGAGCATTCAGTGAAATTTCTTTAAAGGAATCCCAAAGGCCAAGATTTTCTGAGGTGCTCCAAGCCAATAACAAGGTTCCCATCACCAGAGACAGGATGAGAGAGGGCTGGGAAAGAAACATTTTGGCACACCAACAGTGACTTGAATTTAATGACAAAATAGTTTTATTCAGGAAGCCCTGTGTGGAGAGAACTGTTACTCAGAAAAAGCAATGGATAAAATGAAAATGCATAGTGCCAATGAGATCTAACATATTGAAACTGAAGCAGTTCTGTAGATTAGAACTACTGTATTCACCTTTTAACAGCAGGAACTGAGCTTAGATGTGGATCATCCTTCAGCAAGTCATGACTACTTTTACTTTTTCCCTTCATGCTCTATATAAAAAAAAAATAAATAAATAAAAGTTACACACAACCATATTTAGGAGAGTGGGAAGTGAAGAGAAGTGAGTCTGGGAAAAAATTGTAATTTTTTTCCTGTTAATTTTAGCCCAAGTAAGAGAGAGAGGCAAAAAGGGAGTTATTGTGACATCACTCTTCCTATAAAGGGGACTGGCTAGTTTATTCTAGAAATTTAATAGCTCTTTCAGCACTAAAAATGTTATTAAATCTAAAAAAATAGATCATAACTGTTTCAGAGAAACAGTCCCACTGCCACCAACACAATACAATAGAAAAGTGGGATGCCCTAGCTGGTGTAGACAAACTCGGGTAACCAAACAGGTAAGAAAGTCTGTCATCTCTCCATGACAATTCAGACAGTTGCCACTTATAGCAGCAGTATCCCCATCACTACAATAGACAGACAGTAAATACCTAGAAAAACAGAGATTTAACAACTCAGAGTGTAGCATGCAGGAACAATGTACTGAAGGTAGTATCCATAGAACCTGACAGAACAAATCTAAAGATCCGACAACACGCCCAGGTCCTTATATACAAAGGTTCTAGTAGGAAAGCATTCCCTTCTCAACCGAAGAGATAGGGTGAATGTGAACTAAGGCTGGACAGACAGTGGAGCCTTTATTCAGCATATGTTTCTGTAATGTAGTACTTTAAGGACTCAATATCAGGTGCTTGAAGTCTCAGGAAGGTGCCACTGATCCCATCCTGAATGAAGGAAAGAATGTCAGAAAGGTCACATCTAGAGATTTAACTTTTTATCCCGAATTAAGCCCTGTAGATGCCCTCAACTTTGTTTGATGTGGAAGTCAGACTTTTAGCGCCATTTAGCTATGTGAAAAATTACTTGTTCCAACAAGTCCCTTCTTCTTAATGTGTTCAAGAGCCAGGCCAACAGACATGCTGTAGTCTAGGAAGAGAGTCAGCAGTTTAGAAGACAAAGGCCTACTGAGTCAACATGAGGTGACCAGGAGAGCTAATGTGAATGAGCAGAGTGTTTACTCCACTTTTCTGAACCACCTTCTGAGTTGGCAGTTTTTGGGGAGGAGAGCATCTTCTCTATCTATCTTCTAGTGTTGGTTTCTCAACTGTCTGCCTCACCACAGTCCTATTGTAATAACTGGGGCCTGACAGACCCACTCCAAATATGGGCTCAACTGTTGGAAAGTGAATAAAAATTAATAAAATGTTCCAATCACCTATAACAAACAAATGTTCATAGGCAAAGGAACAAAAAGATTGAATTAGTCCAAACAAAAACGCCTACTGATATAACCGGATGGATATAACCAGGAGATCATGCCTGGTAAGCAAAAGGAGCATGGGACTGGAAATCAGTGGACCAAAATTGGTGTGTTGGAAATTAGGCCTAACTGGGAACGAAATAATTAGAGGATGGGCTATTTTGCCCATCACCACTTTTCAGAGTCCTTACAAAAAGAGATTTGGTGGAGAAACGGGGAATGGACAGTCTAAGGAATCCCTAGAAGAGAGGAAAAAGCTGGCAGGCCTCCCCTTCATAAAAAAAGACTCTCTTTCATTCATGCATCATCACATCACTGCGGTACCCAGACCTCAGGGTGCTAGTTGGGACACCTGGCCATCATGAGTAGACTAGTTAAAACTCCAGCCTGAGACCTCCAAAACCCTGCTCTGTCCTCCCTTCCTATGTCCATCCCCCACTATTTTCCTCCTATCTTATCTCTCTCAGCTTTTCACACAATCATGAAACCTACTGTACCACACAGTACCAGCACAATGAGATGAGACTGCCCATCCAGCACTGACCAGCCTGAGAAAGACCTGTAAGGAGATGGATCTGACCAGACAAGCCAGATGACATCCCAGACTGGGGAAGTGAGCCGGAGGCCACAGGAACAACTGTTGTAGTGCCAGGTCAGAGCGTCCATCCGTGCCTGACCAGATGGTTGGTATCCTGACAACATCAATAAAACCTATATTTCCCTCATCTTTATCCTCCTCTCTCTTTTTTCTCCTTGTACCTGTTTTGGGAAAGGCAGAGAAGATGACTGACATTCACACCTCAGAAGCAAACAACAGAACTAATCCTTTTTTCCCCACCAAGAAAGATTGCCTGACAAATGAAATCCAAACTGATAGCCTCTCTCTTAAAAGATTACTTAAACAGGTTTTGATTAACTTTGTTCTGCATAAGCATTCAATTTCAATTCCAAGATATTGATGACTTTTTCTGATTCTTCTTCTCTTACGTATCCTGATCAATAAACTTCCAAACTTTGGCATGAATTTTCTAGTGTGCTTGCCATGGTACTAAGCAGACTGAGGTCTCAGTACTGAAAACCCCAAGCCACGTTTAATGGTTTGGTATTATACACAGTGACAGGGTCATGTTAACATCTTGACTCTCTGGGCCTATATATTCCATCAAAATTAATACAAAACAGTCCCTTCAACTATCTACCTTTTTATTCTCTTGAGTTGAAGCCAACAGGACCCACCCTATCTGGCTACCAAATCAGTTAGCAGAATAGCCCTACATCTGCATGCAGCATCTTAGAACCTGACATCCTGCTATGCTCAGCTCTGACCTCTCTTTTCTTAAGAGCTCCAGCTACCAGAATGTCATGAACCACAGGTCTCAAACCTGGGTCTGCTGGGTTCATGGGAGTGGCCACGCTCGAACTCGCCACCTGGCAGACAGCTAACAATCACTTACCAGGGACCCGTGAAGCTCAGCCCCAATTTGACGCTCCGCCCATGAGGTCCTATTGGCGGCGTGCAGGAGCACTGGCTGCCCTACTTAAGCAAGCAGCAGGAACAGGAAGCTGTCCGAACAACAGGGTTCCACCATGCTCTAGACTGTGTGCTTTGTGCTTTCTGCTCCCCGAGCTTGATTTCCTGGCATCCTCACCTAGCATGATTCCTTGCATCTGACTCATGGTTCTGATCTTCATTTTGTCTCCTGTCTCTTACCCCCTGGTACCTCAACCCAGCCTAACTCTGGTTCCTGACTTGTGGTTCTGATCGCCAGTTTGTCTCCTGCTCCTGCCCCATTTCCCCCCCGTATCTGGACCCAGCCGATACTTGACTTCCATCTCATGACCGCAGACTCTGGCTCTGGTCACCCATGGTTCGGCCAAGACACAGGGGCAGAGAAAGAAAGTTATGTGGCTAGGCCTAACTACCAAAAGTGAAAGAATGCCCATTTCTAGGGCTATGGGGATGCAGAGCTAGAGAAAATCACGTATTTAATAGGTAGGCAACCAGGTCTACATGTGGGAGTTTTCCCTCATTTACAACAAATAAAGAAGAATGCTGACTAGTGCAACTCTCATTCCTTCTCGCTAGATGTAGTCCAGCTCAGTCAGTCAATCTGAAAACATACGATGAAGGAGTAGTAGTCACTAAAGACAGTCATCAGGCTTCAGCCCTGAGTGGAGGAAAGGATGAAGATGTTGAAAACAGTGACAATGAGGGGAAAATCAGGGAAAATTTGGGAAGAATGAGGAGATCAGTTTGGAACATTTTAAGCTTAAACTGATGGCAAGTCATCCAGGTGGAGGTGTCAAAGCGACAATCTGAGATGCAAGATGAAATGGAAAAACATGGGTCAGGAATGTAAAAGTAGATGTGAGAGTTGTCAATATAGAGATGATAGCTGAGTTTGTGTAAGTGGTAAGAATCACCAAAAAGAGAGAAGAGGAAAATACTTAGAACATAACCCTAAGGAATACCATCCTCAGAGGGGCAGAAAGAAGGATGGAGACTCGCCAAAAGATGCAAAAGGACGAACCAGAGAGGTAAGAGGAAACCCAGTGAAGACAGTATTGAAAATGGGGGGGGAGGGATAGCTCAGTGGTTTGAGCATTGGCCTGCTAAACCCAGGGTTGTGAGTTCAATCCTTGAGGGGGCCATTTAGGGAACTGGGGTAAAAATCTGTCTGGGGATTGGTCCTGCTTTGAGCAGAGGGTTGGACTAGATGACCTCCTGAGGTCCCTTCCAATCCTGATATTCTATGATTCTATGAAAAACCCAAGGGAGGGTAGGCGTTTGTGAATAAGGCTATGATCAGCAACATGAAAACAAAGAGAAGTCAAAGGATGAAGATGTTGTATAGGCCCTGAGATTTGGCCGAGAAGAGATCATTAGTGATCCTGATGAGAGTAGTTTTAGATGAGCAGAAAGGGTGGAAGCTAGATTGGTGGAGGAGGAGGAGGAGGAGGAGGATGTAGGAGAGGAACTTGAGGCAATGATTAATTTAGCTATCCATATTTGAAAATATTACCCGAGGTTTTCAGAAATATGCTGCTCTTTTTGGATAATGTCCCTTCTGATGACCCTTTG